TCAGACGCACATATTCAAGCTGTTCTGGGATGATCCAGACATTTGTTGCATTCCTGTTGTCCTCCGATTGAACCAAAAAGGAGGTTGTTTTACCAATTCACACACAGGTACACCTGCAAACAAACATACGCACGCATCTACTTTTAGGAAAATAGTATGTCTATCCTTGCGTTGCAGCGTGCCGATTTCGCCAGAGCTGAAAGTTTCACAAACCGCAAAGGCCCTGTGTGAGGCCCTGTTCAGGAGTGGGTATATGGCTGTGGGTCAAAACCAATGAGATCCCATTTTGGGGTAGGTGCACCACTCATTTTAGTCTATTTTAGTGGGGATTGGGATGTTCACTGGGGGTACGGGCTGTTGACCCATGGCTATATTTTCCAGAATTGGAAGCGCCGCACAATTGGTTGGTGGACGTGAATCCCCACCGAGCTCTGATTGCCAGCAAGAGGTTCTCAATGAAAGCTCACACCCAGTGGACAACAGAGGAACTTCCTGTGTTGGATCCCAAAAAGGCTCGTAGCATAGAGAATTCATTGTGTAGAAAGAACGTTTCCAAAACAGGGGACCCCAGAAATGGTAGTTCTGCATGGCGGCTCATAAAGCCTGTTTTCATTGGGATGGAATTTTCTTTCAAAGCATGGCATTCTGGGGTTTGTGAATGGCTTGCATAGGGAATCTGCCTGTCAAGCACGTGAAACCATGATTTATCCCTTCCAATCAGGGAGAGAATGGCCAGACTCGTGAATCTAGCAACCACAGGTGTCCTTTTTGGTTGTTTGGCTGGAAAAATAGATGGCCTTTTTTGCCTTGTGGTTTAATCATCTACCAGGGCCACTATTTCCCCTAACAGGACACCTATGCTAGCAACCCAGACCAAAATCTTCACCCCCTGCAAAGGTTTGCGTTTGCGCCAAGTCCGGGTCCAATGCGAGCTTCAGAAGAAACCAGAACAAAGGCACTCCCAACCAACTAACCCCTCCCACGACCCCAGATTCCCCGTTTAACCACCCATTAGAGTGCCCAGAGCACGCTCGTATTGCCCCATCATGAGGAGGTAATCTGGCCCAACCCCATTATCATTCAGGCCTCCCCACAGTATGTCGTTGAGGGTTTGATCAGTTTACGATCAAATGCGCGTGGACAGGCATGAGCTGCAGCGGACGCAACGAAGAATCGACACGATGCAGTCGCTGCTTGTCCATGGCGATCTCTCGAAGGGTTGGGATTTGGGCCTCACCGGCAACCATGGAACTTGCTGGACAGTGGGTAATGTGAACATCGGACAAATAAACCCTTCCCCACTCGCGCCCCAAAAGGTCAAACCTCAGATTACATGGTTCCAAACGGAGAAGGTGGTCTGCGGGGAAACGTAGTTCTAGGTGGCCGCTCTGCGGGATTGAGGACGCATACGGAATTTAAGTGACTTTCTGTGCGGAAATATGATTCTGACGAACATGCCGCACTATTTAGGGATGGTCCCGGAGGCCCGAGCCAGAGTTTCGAGTTGTTTTGTATGGATTCCGAAAATGCGTCGCAGTAATTGGTCGTATTTGTCAATCCTTGTCAACACGGACCTTCCATTTGCTTGAGAATAGTCTTTATTTTGCCCTGTTGGTTTTAGAGGGAATCTATCACTACTGGACATGTTTTTTTTTTTTTTTTTTTTTAAAAAAAAATGTTTTTGCCATGCGTCTTAACCAAATGGAAGTCATTCTTCCGGGATCCAGAGCGAGGGGTGAGTACTTGTTGTGCGTCTCGCTTGGAGGTGAAAGGAGCAGCCCAATGAAATCCAATGAAGGTGCCTTGCTTGGGTCTTCCCTATGTCCGCTTTGCGAATTGTACCCAAGCAGTCCCTTGGTACCTCACATTTGCGATTTTTCCAAATTGATGTTTGACGAATCCGGGAACCTTCACAAGCTAGTTGGGACCTTTTGTTTTTGAATTTGCCAGGGTTGACATAAATGTTCCATGCCAGCCTTCTGCCAATGGATAAAACTGGAACACTGGATGGTGTTGCCTTCCCTGACATTTGAGCTGCTACAATTTAAAAATATTTGAAACATGAGATGGAGGGTTCCTAAAATGAGACTCGGACCACAGCAAACGCGGCCATCTTAGGTTTAGAGAGGATCTCTGTGAGCACTCCCCCAAAAACACCCACCACTCACAGCATTGGTTTCTGTTTCGGACATGGACTCACTCCCTGAGTTCATGGACTTTATACTTTTTGGGAAGACCATTTTGGTGGTAAACAAAAAGTTTGGACTTTTTTTGGCCAATCAACTCAGGAAGCGAGTGGACTGTTCTCTTGAGCAGCCGGAAAAAGCCCGCCGATTCGCCTCCGAGGTTTTGCGAGAAGAGCTTTCAAAGGCTACACTCAGACATGGCGATGCTTCTTGGCAAGCCTCGTAGCGCGACCAGTGGCTTTGTGTTTCGCATCGAAAAAGGGTATGGGTCAAAATGAAACCACCAGAAAACCGCAGGTTGAATCGTCCATGCT